CCCCCGCCTCCCCGGCCGCGCAGCCCCCGCGGGACGATGGCGAGCCCCGGGCGCTGTGGATTTTCGGGTACGGCTCCCTGGTGTGGAGGCCCGACTTCGCCTATAGCGACAGCCGCGTGGGCTTCGTGCGCGGCTACAGCCGCCGGTTCTGGCAGGGAGACACCTTCCATCGGGGCAGCGACAAGATGGTGAGCATTCAGCCATGCCCCGGGGAGAGGGATGGGGTCGGGCAGGAGAGGGGGCGCCGGCGTGCCCAGGGCTCGGTGGGCAGACGGACTCCTGGCCGATGGGGGAAATAGGTGAACCAATGCCCGGGGGTTTGTGGCTTAAATTTGTGTGCCCAGTGGATCGCCGTGTGATGCCTGGAGCCTGTGATCCTGTGTTGTTGATGAATAGTTCTGATGATCGGTCTGGGGCCCTGCCAGGTGTCTATTTCTCTTGCATCCATGCATCACTCCCTCCGCTCTCCCCTGGGTGAGTGGGCTCTCTGAGGCCTGTGCTGGCAGAGTTGCTAAGTCCTCTGGCACGGATGGCAGAGCTTTCTAACTTGTCTCTTTCGAAATCTGTTCTTCCTTCCTAGCCTGGCCGAGTGGTGACCCTTCTCGAAGACCATGAGGTAAGTGCCCGAGTGAAGACAGGGACCCTGGGGCCAAGCATGGCGGGGTGCCAGCAGACAGTCTGTGAGTCCTTGGCTGCAGATTAGGTTAGATGTCCTTCTGACAGAAGGAAAGGGTGGTCTGGTTCTGTGCTTCTCACCAGGATTTCCTGTTAAAGCCTGAAACGCACATTCCTGACAAGCCTACAGGTGATACCCTGTTAATCTGGTTAAGAAAGGGAGGACAGCTTGGTGCAGATATTGCTACTGGGTGGCTCAGCAGCCCTCCTCCCACCTCCCTTAGAGAGCAGAGCCCTGGGGTGGGACCCGCGAGGAGCTGTCGTGACTGACCCCTATGTCCTGTTTCCTCCTAGGGCTGCACTTGGGGTGTGGCATACCAGGTGCGAGATGAACAGGTGAGCGAGGCTCTGAAGTATCTGCACGTGCGGGAAGCAGAGCTCGGTGGCTATGATACCAAGGAGGTCACCTTCTACCCCCAAGATACCCCTGACCAACCACTCAAGGCATTGGCCTATGTGGCCACCCCACAGAACCCTGGGTACTTGGGCCCTGCACCGGAGGAGGCCATTGCTACACAGATCCTGGCCTGCCACGGCTTCTCCGGCCACAACCTTGAGTACTTGCTGCGCCTGGCAGACTTCATGCAGCTCTGTGGGCCCCAGGCACAGGACGAACACCTGGCAGCCATCGTAGACGCTGTGGGCACCATGCTGCCCTGCTTCTGCCCCACCAAGCAGGCGTTGGGACTGGTCTGAGGGGCTGAGCCCCTGCAGGGAGTGCCCACATGGACATGGGGGCCAGGTCCCCACGCCTGTGCACACAGACAGACTTGATACAGCTGGAGCCCACTAAGGGGACTCAGTGGGCAGTGAGGGCTCCTCTCCCCGAGGCCCTGCCTGTCCATCAGTCTCCAGCCTGACATTGACTTACTACTTGAAACTATGTATTGCACCATGTTGGTGTGATGGGCAGAGTGGGGGGCCTGCCCTGGACACATGGGCCCTGCTGAGCGGTGCCCCATCCCAGATTCCCCTCAGTGCTGCTGCTAACCCCACACCATCCAGACCTTCCCCTCCCCCTCTAACTTCCTAATCCCCAAACCATTCCCTGGCCCCAGAAATACCACCTGCTTGTAAGGGACAGGAGGGAGTGAGGAGATGGGGCCCTAAAGGAACTGAGGCCCCTTTCAGCCTTGTTCATCCCCCAAGTCCCCAGGGCAAAGCTAGATCTGGAGCCCAGGCATAGCTGCTGGAGCTGGGCCTGGATCTCTCACCCACTTGGCTTTGTTCTCCTGCCCTGTATGTCTGTCTGTGCAGTCCTATCTGTCTGTCTGTTTATTCCTGGGAAATTGATCATTAAGCCCTGGTGCCATCCCATCTGTCCCTTACTATTACCCATAAACTGATGTCTTATTACCTGTGCTGTGCTGGAATGTGGTTCTTCAGATGGGGGTTGGGGTGAGTGAGGTGGTGAAGCCCTGGATGCCTTATAAAGAAGGGAAAGGGCTCCCTCTTTGTCTCCATCTCTTCCTCCCAGCTGCCAGGTCACACCCTCGCGTGGGCACCGTTCAGGTCTTATGCACACCAAGAACACCACTGAGTCCTGCAGAATGCAGCCTGTGTGGCTGGCCTGGGCAGCCCCGTGAGCAGTGTTCTTGCCACCGGTACCCTATGTCTCCTGCCCCAAGGAGGCTCTGGTAGACTTGAAGCTCAGACCAGGTCTTTCTCCCGGGACAGCTGCTGCCTCTTCCTAATAGTGAGGCTCGATCTCTGGCTTCCTGCTATAGGAGCGTGTGGGTTAGGGTAGGGTCCTGCCAAATTCTGGGCTAATGCTGACAGTGAAGACCTGTGGCCTGGAGGACCCGGTGGCCCTTTGGCTTCTGAGGTCCAGGGGCTCACTGTTGCCTCCTCTGGGGTATGGGTTGTACCTTCTCTCTTACCCTGACCTGCCAGGACTCTCCCACAATGGAATGAGTTGCTGGGGTACCCTCGGGGCTACTGCTTATTCACCCATGCCTGACCCCGGCTGCTGCTCCCTACCCTGACTGCCAAACGCAAACCCTGGTCCCAACATCTCGGCCTGATCCTGGGCTCCTCAACTGGGAATGGCCCCTCAGTGGGCTCAGCCTCTGCTCCTGGACTGCAGAATGGGTGCAGGGCCCAGGTGACGGCTTTAACATCAGAAGAGCTTGGCTCCAAAAAAAGAGGAGAGCCTGGCTCCGACCCAGCCCCTTCCCTCACTGGCCCAGGGGCCTCCAGGAAGGTGGTCAGCCTCCTGAGCAGTAGCTCACGCTGGGACGCTGAGTGTCTGTGTGCTGCTGCTCCTGTGGCTGGTCTGGTGTCACCAGCGGGGTCAGCTCCAACCACGTTGGGCAGTGCTGTGCCTGGGGAGTGTGCCATGTGTTGGCAGCCTCACGTCTTGGCCACTGATGGGGAAAGTGTGGAGTCCAGTCAGGTTCTCCTGGGAGCTCATCAGGGCTTCACAACAGGAGGAGGCAGGGAGCCCTGGTGTCTGCCTCCTGCCCTCCTGTGCCCGGCAGGACCAGGCCGCCAGTCTGGGTACTCAGAGCAGAGCCTTACTCTATGCCAAATGGGGGTGGGGAGGACAGTGTGGCAGCTGTACATGGGTTCGAATTCTTCAACCTGTGCATTTAGCAAGTATCTACTAAGCTGCTACAGGACAGGCAGCGATCTAGTGTGTGTGTGTGTGGGGGCGGGGGGGGGGGGGGTTTACAATAGTGAAGAAATCCTCCTCAGGGAACTCAGAGCCTGGAAACTGAATGGTGACTGTTCAGCGTGAAATGGGCTGTGATGGGAGGAGACTAGGGTGCTCAGCTTAGAAAGGCTGCTGCCCGGAGGGGTGGTCGGGAAGACGTCCCGGGGGAGGGAACGATAAGGCCGAGCCCTGAGCCTGAGAAGGGTCTTCCGTGACCAGAGGCAGGGAACAGCCTGTGCTAGAGAGGGAAGCAAGGTCGGACCAGCTGGGACAGAGTGGCGTGGCCAAGGGAACATGGGGCTGGACAGGGGGCAGGACCGCATCCTCATCCTGCTAGCCAGGCTGGTGAGCTGTGCTGTTACCTTAAGAGGACCTGGCCCCGAGCAGGTCTGCCTCAGGCCGCCCAGTGGTGTGTCCGCCCAGTGGTGTGTGGGTTCTTGACTTGGTGCAGGAAGGATTTCACAACACTTGTCCAGGTGATTTTTAAAAAAATATATATTTTATTGATTTTTTACAGAGAGAAAGGGAGAGGGATAGAGAGTTAGAAATATCAATCAGCTGCCTCCTGCACACCTCCTACTGGGGATGTGCCCGCAACCAAGGTACATGCCCTTGACCGGAATCAAACCTGGGACCCTTCAGTCCGAAGGCCAACACTCTATCCACTGAGCCAAACCAGTTAGGGCTTGTTCAGGTGATTTTTAGAGGACTTTTATTAACACTGAGGACAGTGATACAAGGAAGGGCCTAGGGCAGTGGTCGGCAAACTGTGGCTCGCGAGCCACATGCGGCTCTTTGGCCCCTTGAGTGTGGCTCTTCCACAAAATACCGACTTCTGCGCATGGGCCATGAAGTTTCAATCGCACTGTACATGCGCGCCCGCACGTGGTATTTTGTGGAAGAGCCACATTCAAGGGGCCAAAGAGCCGCATGTGGCTCGCGAGCCGCAGTTTGCCGACCACTGGCCTAGGGTAACAGGAGAGGGGCCAGGTGGAGAAATGAGCATAAGCTGGGCTGCTTGGTATTCCTTTACGTTCATCTGTCCTTGAGTGTGGTTGGCAAATGGCATTAATTGGGTTTCCGCTATCTGTCTCCCTGAGTGGGGTGCTTTAAGCTATTTACTCTCGGGTTGGAGAGAAGTACAAACTATTTACTCTTAAGTCCCTGGTCACAGAAGACAGGACTTACCAGATGGGTGCAAACTGCTTGTTTAACTGTTTGTCTTAGTTTCCCTATTCCACTTGTCCTGGCTTACTGGTATGTCTCACTGTGGAGTTGGCATTCCTCCGTCTGTGGGTTCTGGGCAGGGAAGAGACTGCTTAAGAAGGAACACAGGCACCCTAGCCAGTTTGGTAGAGTGTTGGCCCAAGGACTGAAGGGTCCTGGGTTCAGTTCTGGTCAAAGGTACATACCTCGGTTGCAGCTGGGGAGTGTGCAGGAGGCAACCAATCGATGTGTCTCAACCAATTGATGTTTCTCTCTGTCTCTTTCCCTCCCTTCCACCCATTCTCTCTAAAAATCAATGGGAAAATCTGAGAATTAACAACAACAAAAAACGAAGGAACAGCAGCTGCTGTGTCAGTTTGGAGGAGGAAGGCCAAAGGGAGGCCAGAGAGAGGTGAAGGTGGCCTGAGCGGAGGTGTGGCATGGACAGGAGGGTGGATTTGAGAGCAGGTTAAGCGGTGATGTTGTCAGACTCCGGTGATGAGAGTGAGGGAGAAAAGAGAGGGCCAGAGTTCAGAGTTGGGAAGGGCGGAGTAGAGATCTGCTCTGTGTTCGAGTGGTTGAACTGGGGGTGCCGGTGTGGGACAGTGTCACCCACATAAATGTTTAGGAGGCAGCTGAACATATGGGTCTAGGACTCGGACTGGAGTTAGAGGTTTGAAGCCATGCACATTCAGATGGTGCGTGAAGCCCTGGGAGTGGAGAGAAAAGAGAACAGGGCCTGGCCCAGCCCCGAGGCCCCCAGCCCTGGTGACCTGAGTGAAGCAAGAACAGCTAAGAACAAGCAGATGGAGATGTGGAGGAGAATCAGGGGGCCAGGGACATGTGTCAAGATGTCAGGGACAATCAGCGTGGGAGTGTCCGTTGGATGAAATGCTGGGGGTCCCCAGTAGCCTCAGTGAGAGCAATTTCAGAAACAGTGGTGAGAATCCCAAGATAAGGCTGAGGAGCCAATGGGAGGAGACGTGGACAGTTCAAGAAATTTGCCTGGCCCGGCCGGTGTGGCTCAGAGGTTGAGCATTTACCTATGAACCAGGAGGTCACGGTTCGATTCCCGGGTTGTGGGCTCGATACCTAGTTTGGGGCATGCAGGAGGCAGCCAATCAATGATTCTTTCTCATCATCAATTGATGTTTCTATCTCTCTCACCCTCTCCCTTCCTCTCTGAAATCAATAAAAATATATTTTATTTATTTATGTATTTATTTATTTTTAAATTAAATCTTTATTGTTCAGATTATTACAGTTGTTCCTCTTTTTCCCCCCCATAGCTCC